GTGTGTGTGTGTGTGTGTGTGTGTGTGTGTGTGTGTGTGTGTGTGTGTTCAGGTTTGAAAGCTGCCTGTGGTGTTTGATGGTATTTAACCTGGGTAAAAAAAAAAAACTTAACTAGGCCACCCTGGTTTATGAACCATACCCTGAGTACTCATCTGAAAACTTATCGGTTTCCATTTGGTGTGACCGCTGCCGTCAGAGACTTGGCCCAGAACGAAGAGCAGAGTGTGATTTCACTGTTACGCTTCTTAACAAGAACAAAACTATCGTTTTAATATTCCCAGACCTCGGAGTGTGAGAAATRCCCATTAGACTTTTATTTTATGAATGTGTCTCTATGGCTGCCGTTTTGTCTTTTCCTTCTATGTCTTTAATTTTGTTTCACTAGAAAATGTCTGTCATGTTTGCAACAGTGGGTCTTCTTGACTGTTTGTGGCCACGTGTGAAAGCAAATGTGCAGTTGTGTTGACTTTTGGTGCTGAAACATTGTGCAATGAGCATGTTTTGATGAGCAAACTCTTAAACCCTTTCTCTCYTTTCAGTTTTTGTTTTACTCAAAATGAAAAACAATACACAAAAGGTTATTTTATGTGCACACAGCCAAGGACATCAGTGCAGGAGAAATGGTAGCACAGTATTTAAAATTTACTGTGAGAGCACGTTTATATTGGCACGCTCTCTCTATTTTATTTTAAAATGTGGGTGCAAGTCTTCRGGATATGAATAAATGCTCCTGTGAACAACTTCCTTTTCAAGTGTTGTATCAGTATATCTTTTAATCAAGTTTCCTTTCTGTTAAACATTTATGGCTGTTCCAGTGTTGTCCTTGACCCCCACTCGAYCCTTGATGAAATGTGAGGTCAGCTGGTGGGAGTCGGTGTAAAAATGAGGAAAATTCAAACATGCAAAAATGTGAGAAAAAACAAGTATGTGTAAAAATGTACATGTGAGTTAACTTTGTGTAAAATAAAGATTTAAGTCATTTAAGGTGACTGTTTATCATTTTACACTGCAGGTGCTGCAAATGTCACAGCACATTTGGATGGATGTTCAGGGGGGGTTTACACGAAGAGCACAATGTATTCCTCTCTCTTTTTCTCTCTCAGGACAGATGGATGCAGGATTATCACTGCAATATTAGGCAAAGATTAGAAAGAAGAGCAGATGCACTCAGTGGGAAGCGTGAGGGAGAAACATGGACGTCAAAGACAAGGGAAGTGAGAATGATGAGACATGAAGCTTCTTGTATGTAAATGTGTGTCCAGTGAAATGCAATAAATGGAAGATGTGCTGAGTCTTTAAATTTTTTTACTGTTTTTAAATAACATATTATATTAAATAACATTACATATACTGTATATATAT